GTTAATTTTGAAAAAAAAAAAAAGTAGTATGGTTAGTTGTTAGTGGAATTTTGGTTTATATTAAAATAATATTTAAAATAAAAAGTGGTGGTTAGTTAAAGTTATGTGAGTAGGTGAATAGTTAATTAAAATTGATGTAATGTGTAAGAATGATTGAGTAATATTATTTAATTATATTGAAAATATTTAGATAATGAGGTTGTATTAATGTTGAATTAGATTTAAGTTATAAAAGTGATTGTAATTATTTGCAAGAAATCGTATTCAAGCATACCCTTAGTGTTTTGATAATATTGTGATTGCAATTATCGAAATCTTTATCGTTAAATCAACACATACATGTCTAAACCAATGATGTATTGACTTAATGACTGATTATAATTGGAGTGAGTGGGTTGATTTGTCATAAAAACTTATATTTGTAAATGAAAAAACATTTTTATAGGAGAAAATATCATATTTTGTAAATATGTTAAACAATTATGTGAATGCTTTCTGACATTATTTCATTTTAAAAGTATGAAGTCAAATAGAGAAAAATATGGGGGTCTACTTTACTAGACCATTCTTCAGACCAACTCCAGCGTTGCTCTAGAATGGAGCAAAATGCTGGAGTAGCGTCAAATATATAATCCAATCCTGCGTTGAAATCCTGCGCTACAAGCCATATGTGAACAGTGTTGCGCCAGATGTAGCGCAATACTGTAGCAACGCTACATATTTTCTTTTTTATTTTTTTAATGTAATATTAATGATAAATTTTTGTATAATGTGTATTACTAAATATATTTTTATGCTAAATAACTTTGTGCAATGTATTTTTATTCTAAATAATTTTGTACTTTTTATTTATTGATGTATTATAATTTTATTTTGTATTTTTTAATATTAAAATAGTACTGTATGAAATTAACACATTCAAACAAACAGATTTCATTAAAATTAAAAGTTTATATAAGATTAATTATACAAAATTTAGATTTAGTGCATATTTACAGTCTAGACCGTATATGGTTTAGGGCATATATTCACTAAGAAAATCTAGACTGTAAATATATGCCCTAAACCATATATGTCCTAAATCATTTTCCAAAATGTGAATATATGCCCTATTACAATCATTTTCCAAATGATTGTAGTAAAATTATGTTAAATAAATAAAATATATTTTTATTATTTGAGTAATTAACATTTATATAAGATTAAATATACATATATATACCAATTTATTTGAAATAAAAAATAAATAAAAAATAATATATTTAATGTAAAGTAAAATGTAGAGATAAGGGCTGTAGAAATAAAAAATATATTTATTTTTTATTTCAAATAAATTGGTATATATATGTATATTTAATCTTATATAAATGTTTATTACCCAAATAATAAGAATATGTTTAGTATAAAAAATACGTTACACAAAGTTATAATACGTAAATAAAGAAAAAAAAACAAAATTATTTAGCATAATAAATATATTACACAAAGTTATAAATTATTTAACATAAAAATACATTACACAAAGTTATAAATTAGTTAGCATATAAATACATTACACAAAGTTATTTAACATAAAAAATATATTTACTAAATACACATTATACAAAAATTTATTACAATTCAGAAATAAAAAAAGTAAATAAAAATGTAGAGATGCTACAGTGTTGCGCCACATCTGGCGCAACATTGTTGCAATCTCCAAAATAACGCAGACAATTGGCGCAGGGTTGAACTGTATTTTGGCGTTACAATAGCGCAAAAGGAGAGAAATAGAGCAACGTTCACATGACCCTTGTGACCTCTCGTGTGACCGGTCGTGTGGACCTAGAAGTTTGCCGAAAATTGGAGAAAAGTCACACGACTCGTGTGGCTTCTGACAGGAGTCGTGTGACGCACATATAAGGCAGCAGGAAATAGGATTCTTACGCGATTTTTTTCCCTTTTTCGACCCATAATTGCTCTACAGTATATAAGGAACTTGAAGAACACGGTTTTGGGGCTTTTGACACCATTGGAGGCTTAGAGAAAGCACGAAACATACGAGGGATTCGAGGAAGTAAAGACTGGAGATTCGGGAACTAACGGCGACAATAGTTCTTCTTTATTTTCTCTTTTTCTTCTTCATTGAACTCATGGATTTATTTATTATCAGTTTTGAGAATATGTTTAGTAGCTAAACCTCTTTGAGATTCTAGGATTTGTGAGTACTCGGATTATTTTATGAAGTGATTTTGTTCATTCAATCCTATCTATCTTTAGTTTATCAATTTCTTATGGTTATATCAATTGTGTGAATATAGGGCCGTATTTGTGCATATTTGTGATTGACTTGAGACCGAGAGGCGATAGTTGATTGCTAGAATTAGAAAATTTATAACGTAAGAGACTGAACAGACCGAGAGGTTGGTAGAATCCTGCGAGGGAACTAAAATCTTAGGAACTTATGGGAGTTAGTTGTTCATCTTGAGACCGAGAGGAGATAGATCACAATTAATATCTACTATATAACTTGTTCGAAAGAAATGTGTAAATTACTTTAGCGATTATCCCTACGATTGGTAGAATTAAATAAGGTTTGAATGAATAAGAAAACATTGCTAGAATAATCTCGAGAAAAGTATAGCCGAGAATCTTTTCTCATTCTTGATTTATCTTAGTACAAGCTTTCTTTAGTGTTAGAATTTATTTTGTAGACATTCATTAATTTAGAATAGAATCACCATTCAAATTTGAGTTAGTCTAAATAATATTAAATCGTCTATATTTTGATACTTAATTATTTTAACATCAATCTCTGTGGGATACGACCTTGCTCGCCGCTTACTATAGCTACACCATATACTTGCGGGTAGTAAAAATATTTTGCGAAAAGGTGGAATGAGATGAAGTACTATGTTTTTTCTTTGTGAAGAGTTTTAAATATAGTTATTTTTCTGATTATTCAACTTTTTGAATAATTTGGAAGCCACCCAACAATTTCAATGTGGGAACTGGGAAGTATCCACAGCACGTATGAGAAATTCTAGAGGTTTGGTTTGGTTTGGTTATGCTTTCATAAACATGTTTTAATATTGACTTTTAGTTATACACGCATGACGTGGATCTACCTATTTCATGTAAAATTTCTGGTAAGAATTTGACTCATCTACTAAATGTGTGTCATATTAATAAATGATTAGAAGGGTGACTGGTTTGACTGGAAAAAAGTTGGGAAAAGAAGATTTAAATGGCATAGGATATAATTTCTTTTTTATTTTGTTTGGATTTTTTGGTTTGTTGGGTATATTAAAATAAAATTTATAATAATAAAGTTGATTTGATCTAAAAGTATGAGAGAGATAATGTGAAGTGAATTAAAGTTGGATGTAGTGTGTTAGAATGATCGATTGATATTATTTAACTATATTGATAATACTCTGATCAGCTCCTATGGCGTCTAATATGGCGCTGACAGGCCCCGCAATGTGCCCGTCACCTCATGTGGCTCGTACCTAACGATCGACTTCTTACTAATGTGGAGCGCATCCGTCGACACCTTGCTGCTGCGACGGAGTGCGATTTATGTGGCGGGAGTAAATAGACCATGCACGTCCTTCGAGACTGTTCGTATGTCAAGCAAGTATGGGTTCGACTGCAACCTCGAGCCTATGACGTCGCGTTCTTCCAACTGCCTCTCTTCAGCTGGCTGCGTAAGTACCTAGCGACTACGGATGGGCGAGTTTCTGAACTGGAGCTGTATCTTCTCGATTACGATTTGGCGTGCATGGAAATGTCGGAATGAGAGGATTTTTAACCACAAAACGCTTAGCGGGGAGGCAAGATGTGGGGAGATTGTGATCCTGACTGATAGTTATGCACGGGCTGAAGCAGCATATGCCAAGGTTGGGGTCGCTTTGTATGTTACACGCATGATATATTGGACCCTCTCGGAACCGAGATGGAATAAAGTGAACACTGATGGTGCATTCGATAATCTCACGGGCCTAAGCAGTGCGAGAGGCCTGCTTCGAGACGACTCGGGTGGCTGGATCGATGCTTATGAATATTGGAGATTGTACCATTACGGGCGCAGAACTCTGGGGGCTACTTCAAGGTTTGCAGCAGGCGTGGGACAGGGAATACCGTCAAGTTATTGCAGAGATCGATAGCAAGTGTGTGACAAAGATGGTACTTAGATCGAGTGGTACATTTGGATCCCATGATCGAGAGTGGTGCATTAGGATATTGCACGTGCACAAGGAAGCTAACTTTTCAGCTGACCACTTGGCGAGCATGGCAGCATCTTGTCCAATTGGA